TACTGGTTGATTGCCAACGGGTTCTTGGGTTTTGATGGTAGGGAAGTTTTTGATTATTCAGGAGATTGGATTTTGATTTGGGAACTGGCAGGTTCCTTCTTATGGGAACATTTTGAGAATGGGATTTTTGGTAGATTAGCTTTCTTGTATTTTGTTGGTGGCTTGTGGAGGGTGAGTTTTGAGTGAGTCTGGTGGGGGATACATATCCGAGCCCTCTTCTCTTCCTATTTAGAACAACTTCAGCAGTAGAGTTACCGGTTTTACTATTCATGCCGAAGTTAGTCATTTTGTTTTTCAGCTCTTTGTTCTCTTCCTCTAAGACATTGTTTTTGGTTAAGGCATCTAACAACTTGGAATGAATGGCCTTAATGTCTTGTTTTAATCTATCATTTTCTGATCTTAAGAGAACATGGTGATCTTGGACTTTCTGAAAATCTTGTAGTAAAGATTCCAATGTGACATTGGTTGGTCCAGAATCACTAGAGCTATAGGAAGAGCAGGATGTTACCTCAACATCATTGTAGTGGTCTTTGGCCATTAGGCAGCTGTTGGAGCAGTTTTCATCATCTTCGCTGAGCCATCTGCTCCTTTCTTCAGCCGTCTGCCAGGATCCCAGGCATAGTAGTGCCTCCTCTGAGTCTCCAGATGAGGAGCTTTCATCACTTGAGCTGCTCTCATCATCACTTTGGGATTCGTCCTTTCTCTTTTCACTTACAAAGGCTTGTCTCTTGCCCTTGAAGTCCCTTTTGTATTCTCCTTTTCGAGCAGTTGCCTGTTGCCCTTGATACTTTTGAGCCAGTGGTAAAGGACACTCATTCTTGTAATGTCCTGGCTGTCTACAGTTATAGCATAGAATAGTGTCCTCACTTGATTGAGGTCTTCCTTGTCTCCTGGGTGGCTGATTGTATGACCTCCTTGGAACAGTACCCTCCTTCTTTATGAATCTTTTAAATTTCCTCACAAACATAGCAAACTGCTCGTCAGTGAGGAGATTATTGAGGGATTTTTCAGCAGATTTTAAAGTGCTTGGCTCAGACACTAGAGCTAGTGTCTTGTATTCATCTTCCTTCTCTTCCTTGATTTCCTTTATTTCAAATTCATAGGCCTTGAGATCACTGAAGAGTTTGTCAGTTGACAAAGTTCTGAGATCTCTACTATCTCTCATAGCAGTTACCTTCATGTCCCATTTTGATGGCAGGCCTCTCAAGATTTTAAGGGAAATTTCTTTTTGAGAAAGTTCTTTCCCAAGGTCAGAGACCTCTGCCACAATCTTCAGGAATCTGGATTCCATCTCATGGATAGATTCAGACGACAGCATTTTGAAATCCTCAAATTTTTTTAGGGCAATGGTCAGTTTATTGTCCTTCTCCTGTTCATCCCCTGCTCCAATCTTTGTTAGCTCATCCCAGACATCTTTGGCAGTTTCGCATTTCCTGATTCTGGGAAATATAGATTCATCAACAGATTTGAAGAGAATGTCCTTGGCAATGTTGTCAAGATTGTTTCTCTTCCTGTCCTCAGTTGTCCATTCCATTTTAGGTTTTGGAATGTACACATCATCTGTCCCTTCTATGGTTCTGGATGTGATGACCTTTATTATTTTGATAGGTCCATCAGTAATTACTTCAATCATCTCATCATGTAAGGCACTGAGATGTGCTTTCATCCGTATTTTCCAGTCATCAAATTTGTTCAAGTTGAACAGAAGATTCTTGGCTAACTGACTGTCCATTTTTAGAAAGTGTTTGGGATAAGAGTGGATTTGGATCTTTAGTTCAAAAATAGTCAGAAACTGACTCTAGGAACACACCGCTCTGATACCACTTGATGGTCCCGGATAGAGGTAAAAGTCTAGAGGGGGGGGTGAATAGACTTTTAAAATCTTTTTCAACTTTGTGAAGTTTTCCCTCTAGATGAGTTGATCTATAATCTTTTAAGAGATTAATAGATGCACACCGGAAGTCTTTAACCTCTTTATACTTGGTGTGAGACAACTTTCTAGTTTAGATGATGTTTAGACTGGTGACAAGAGGAAGTAGGCTTGGCAGTAGACTGGTGAGCAGATAACTGCTTAGTCTACTGCTGCACAGGCAGTTTGCTGACTGGCAGGCAACTGCTGAGTTGGCAGTCGACTGGTGGGCAGGTTACTGCTGAGGCAACTGTTAAGAACAGGATGACTTTTGGATGGCTTTTTGTTCTGGCTTGTTATGGCGTTCGGAAAGACACATATAAATGGGCAGTGGGCTCAGCAGGAGGGTGAAGACCAGGGTACTGCTGAGGCACCTTCTGAGTGTAAGATAACTTCTAGTGGAAAATACTCTCAAGGAGAGTGAGCTATTAAGCAGTAGGCTAAGCAGTACAGTCGATGAAGACTACTGCTTAGGATGCTGCTGGCAAACTACAATCCTCTAGTGAGATGTGTTTGGTGTGTGCTTCTGTATGTATGAAAGTAAATCAACACACGATATATCCTGGTTCAGAGGTGGTGTAATCCTCCTACATCCAGTCCCACCCTATTTCAGATGGATTTCCACTAAAGTATTCAGCCCAATACAATTAGTGCCAATCTAGCCTTGACAACTCTGGCCTAGATTGAAGGTTTTTCACGATGAGTATAACACCACTCAAAGTTACTCAGTCCTTAGACTTTTCTCAATTGATCCAGTGGGGATCAAAAGGTACTCTATCTATCTAACCACACTTTAGGATCCGAACAACTGTTCTCCTAAGTGTTTACAACAATTTGTTTACAAGAAATTTTCCATCCTCCAACTAGAAACTAAGCTCTAAAAGTGTAATCGTGTATGATCTTAGTCTAAGAGCTTAGTGAAGCATGAGTCTAAGCAGAGAGCAAAGTTTAACATGCACTTTCTCTTTTGCTAGATATCTCTTGAATGTTTGAAGTGAATACTCTACTTAGATGACTCAAAAACTTAATTTTATCACTCATGCTTCTGCCTATTTTATAGGCCTTTTGAGCAGATCAATCTCCTCCGTTGGTTGAGAGGAGTTGATCGTAGTCGCTGAAAGAGTTGTACTCTTTGTCTTCATGTGTTGGAGCAAGATAAGGAGATAATTTTTTTTTTTTGCCGATCAGTTCTTCTTCGAGAGATCACTTCTTGTGTATCATCATCACCTTTTGGGACCCATGTACAATTTCTTGCATTAAATGTTTTTTAGCCTTACGCCTTTGTTATACGGCTTATCCCTGCATGTCACTGTGCACCAAGTAAATTATGTACTGGAGGTAAAAACACTTACCCTGGTGAATTTCCAGCAAAATTTATTTGGAGCATTTGTTCAACACTTCCCACTTTTTATTTGTGTATCAAAATAAAGTTATACTGGTAGGATTTTAATGTCCTTTTTTAAGGCATCAAAAATTACCTAAATGTATTTTAAGTTTCCAGTATACTTTATTTGACACATTTTATTAGTTATGACTTATTAGGTGGTGGAGGTGTTCATTTATTGGTATAGTGGCATCATCAAAATCTATCAATCGTTGGGTACTAACAATATACATATGCTATTTTATATTTAAATAAAGTATGTAAAAATATCGTAACTTTACATGTCAATACAGTTATAATAAATTTATAAATGATAAGTAGAATCTGTATTTACTGTACGATGAGTAAAAAAAAATACGCCATGTGCAACGACAGCAAGTTTTGTGGTTTGAAACAATTTGTATAATTATTGTTTCATGCATAAAATAAATTTAAATTATTAATTTAATCAGGATAGCAAAACAAAGTTACATATATACACGACATTACATGTACATAATTATAAGAGTTGGTTGGTATGTTTCTGATATTAGTTGTATAATCACGATATTAACCGGTATGAAATCGGTAGTATTGGTATGAGTTTAACATAATTGGCGGTGGAAGCGTGGGAAGTGTTCACTTCAAAAAAACGGCTAAGTTCATTTATTGAAAATCCCGAGTTCCCGGGAGGTCGAATTTCGATTTTTGACTTATTAACGTAATTATTGAGCGAAACCTTTTTAGAGAACTCGGGGAGGTTGAGATCAGGGGCAAGTTTTATTTTATTCAGATGATTCTTGAATGATTTATTTTAAATACCTCGATGAGGTCAAGGTCGACATAATGTTTCATTCTATGTAGTTGGTTTTTTATTCTAAATAAATTGAAGACCTTAGGTAGATCGAGGGCAGACACATGTTTAATTTAGCTAGGGGATTTCGGACATAAAAAAAGAGCCAGATCTGAAATCTGATCTTAAAGAAACAGGTCATAGATAACTTTATATGAGCTTAACATTGAGCTCAAATCTGACCGCAAAGAAACAGTTCATAGATCACCTCATATGAGTTTAACATTGACCTGAAATTTGACCTCAAAGAAGCACGGCAAAGATGACTTTATATGAGATAACATTGAACTCAAACCTGACCCTAAAGAAAAAGTTCGTAATTCACCTCATATGAGCTTAATATCAAGCTCAAATCTGGCCTTAAAGAAACAGGTTGTAGATGACCTCATATAAGATTAATATTGAGGGCAAATCTGACCTAAAAGAAACAGGTCATAGATGACCTTATATAAGGTTAATATTGAGCTCAAATCTGACCTCAAAGAATTAGGGCACAGAGGATCTCATATGAGGTTAATATTGAGGTCAAATCTGACCTCAAAGAAACGGGTCATAGATGACCACATTGAGGTCAAATCTGAACTTAAAGAAACAGATCGTAGATGAATTCATATGAGTTTAACATGGAACTCAAATATGACCTTAAAGAAACAGGCTGTAGATGCCCTCATATGAGTCTAACATTGAACTCAAATCTGGCCTTACAAAATGCGGTCATAGATGACTTCACATGAGCTTAATATTGAGTTCAAATCTGATCTCAAAGAAACAGATTATAGATGATCTCATATGAGCTTAACATTGAGATCAAATCTGACCCCAAATAAGCCGGTCATAAATAAATTGAAAACTAACGTAAGATATAAAAAAAGTTGCAGCATACATATTAAACATTCGGTAAACCCAAAATCCGGAAAGTAGCAGTTTTTTACAAAAACTCCCTTAGATTCATGGTCCTTAACAACATCTCTTGTAGAAGCTTGGGAATATCAGAGAAGGGTTTTGCATAAAATACACACGCAGACATAGCGTAAACATGCCAAAAGGAGGTTGATGTCATAAACGTATAAATGTCGGGATGTTAAGCTACAATTGGATTCCTGGGGCCCAAAAAAAAACCAAAATATCAGCAAAGCATGCAGACAGGGCGGGACAGATTGGTTGATATTCCTTCAAAAGGGTAGGTGTAAAAACCAGTAAGGAACATTGTAAAGGGATAGGGTAGTAAGTGGCTGGAGTGAAGCTAAGGAACCTCAGCAAATTCAGTGTGGGAAGCGCTCCGTATTTCATACATATGTGGTTTGCTTGGCACTTTCTCCATCCCGCATGACGAAATTGTAAGTAGCAGCGCCTCACCCCTGTGATGCTTAACAAAAAAGAGAGTGTCATTGCGCTTCAACTCGAAGGTTGTCTGAATTTGGCGTCGCAGCGTTCGTTTTGCAATGACAAAGTAAGCATCATCATCGCCATAGAAGATGCGCACGCGGTTCCTCATATCACTGCATGACCGAAGGAAGGCTTCACAGCAGACCTGCATTGAGATAGAAAAATAGAACAAGTGTAGCAGTTAAGATATGGTAGGCTGTTTCAGTGTATGTTTATAATTGTGTGTTTGTTCATTGTATGTGGTTACAGATCTTTAGGCATTGTATATTTGGGATTTTTCTGTGTCATGTGTTTACGCATATTTGTACCCAAAAGCAGATGTATGGAACAGTCAAGACCACTGACAAACCAGCTGGGGCCTCAGGCATATTCATATATAACTAATTCTTTAATTAATCTTGGGCACTCTTTATTTTGATTTTAGGCTACATTTCTGGGGATTTTGCATGGGTTTCAGTGAAGGGTAAAAATACAGGAAACAAAAGTGAAATATGTAGGCTGTATGCAACGTATATTTGAAGATAATATCAAAGGTATGTATATATATATCCTAGTTGGTTTTTCGCCTGTTGCAAGTCCCCATTAATTAAATGAAGTGGAGCCTTTAACAACCGGGAAAAAGAAGTATACAGAAAGAAATACTGAATATTAATAAATATACTAAGGCATATACCTTACTCGTTTTGTTGGGCACAAAGAGAAAGGATGGGTGACAATACAGCTGGTTGTATGCATAATCTTTGAAAGAAGACTCCACATACACAAGGAAGTCATCTGGAATCAAGACAAGTGGATATTATGAAGTTGTGTAAGGAAGAATGAATAATATGATACAGTACATAAATTGTAGATAGGTATGGGCAGGCAGAAGAACAAGGTGGGGGTGAATGAGGTGTGTGTCATTAAAGTGGAGATTATATATCAATGCACCTGGTGTATGCAATGGATTTGAAACGCCAATGGGTTTGTCAGCCAAGTTAAGAGAAAATCCTAGTTTGTCAAACATGAATACTTCGAAAGTGAAGTTCCCCACATATCTCAGGAGAGCACATGAGCCAAAGTCAATATCGTTTTCGATGAACAGGTCAGCAAAGCCGTCAGTTAAAGCACAATCGTTGAACTGGACATCCCATGAGGTTGTTCCATACACAAAGCGAGCATTGGGCCGTATATGTTCAAACAGATGCCTGTGCATGCATGAAGGGATTTTCTGGACAACAATAGGGGTACCAAAAAAAATAGCAATGTGAAAGTGAATAGTTATGGGGCAAAAACAAAAGATGATTGGTAAATGTAAAGAAGCAAACATACAGCCAGGTCAATAGCAGGGATGTTAAGTTGAAACCAGACAATGTTGAATTGAAGAACGTCTGGGAAATGAATACTACCACTTTCTGGGCAGGCTGCTTGATTGAACAAAACCACGTAAAAGAACAGTCATTATAAAGATATAAGATGAGTCCACGCCGGGAAAAAACAGGGAAGGGAACACGCCAATTATAGTAACATCACCAACTTGTTAGGTGGGGGGAGAGGGGATGTAAAAAACCCGCAATTGGAGGCATCAAGGAGCCTCTACGCACAAAATGGGCAAGCTTATGCTCAAGTTCATCCTTGCTTCTGAAGTATTTTGGAAGGAGCCTCCAGGAGCCAGAAATTTGCAAGAATTGTTTCCAATCGTTAGTAGCCTCGCAGGTCTCCTCACCCGTACTTGTCTATGTAACTACAGCGACCTTGAGCTTTCTCCCATGGACTGTGCTGACAAAGTATGTAAGAGTTTCAGACCGAGTGTGATGTCTTGCTCTTTCAACGACACAAGCGCTGAGCAGATCCATAGACCCTGAAAACAACAAACCAATTAGTAACATATATCCATGCAAACAAAGTGGGAAAGAAAATCAAAAAGCGTTGGGGCAGGGGGAAGGGCAGGCGAGGTTTTCGGGACAGATGCAATCATACACGCATGCATAGCAAAAAAGAGGGTGAATCGTTGGGGATGATCATACCTGGCTTGCTGGTCTGCAGTTGGAAAAGCGATGAACTTCGTTGGGAGAGACACAGGCTGGCAAGGTAGCGCAAGTGAAGAGGTGGAGAGACGGGGAGGGGTGTTGGCGGTTGGTACGGTCTTATAAACGATAAAGGGTTGGGACTCATGGAGTACAAGGGGTTTTTCTTTTGTCAAAAAAACAACCAACTTAAATAATTTCTAATGTAACAAAATGTATAGAAATACAGGAGGTTTAAAAAAAAAGTTATCTACATAAAATGTGGGAATTTATCCTAATTATTCTATTTCTAGTTTATTTGGATGGAATGTTAAAAAGATAATAATTGAAATTGATTGAGTCAAATGTAACAGGATATTCTTACCTGCTTTCGCTGATTTTGTTGAAATTTGTGGGTGTTTGATTGTAATGGATGTTTTGATTGAATCCGCTAAATTAAGGAAAATATATTTTTTTGAAAATATAGTATAAAAAAAAAACACTAGTATATGCAAAAAGAGGTAAAATAAGTATGTATAGTACTTGCCGCTAGAACAGTCAAAACAAGAATAATGGCAAATTCTTTTTTTAATTATTTCATAGTTAGTTGGACGAAAGTAGGAATAACGCGGTTGGAAAAAATGGCTGTATAAGACGGGAAAATATGTGTTTAACCGGTATGGCAAATGTGCGTTTTATTTGTAACCAAAGTGTTTGGATGAAGAATGGATCACAAAGCTTTAATACATTCATCCAAGTCACTCCTTATATTACTTTGAAGTACAACTGAGCTTGATCGCAGTAGACCTCTCTGGGGTTATTTATTTTATCATAATGCTTTTTTTGGATTGCTCATTTATGTCTTTGCTCCTTCACTGCTCGTTCCTAATTTATCACACTAGACCTCTTTTTACCGTAATTTATTTCTAAAATAGTGGTGATATATTATGGACTCTTATTAGAGTGGCAGGTTAATTCCTAAAAGAGAAGGTTAGCTGTAGAATAAAAAATATGTAATTTTTAAGTTGTATAAGAGAAAAGTTTAAAAAAATTATATATTTGAAAATGACATTTATGAAAATACCAGGACAGTATATAAATTGGGAAACAATAATTGAAAGGTAAAAGAGCAAAATTATTAATCCAATTCCGTGCCAATTTATGACGCTTATAAGCTTCAGTGTTTGGAATTTCATATTACCTAGAGCAACAAGTATAAATAATGGGATAGGAAGACTGCATTTTTTAAAAAAGCAATAAATGTGCATAAGACAGCGAAATCATTATTTATATTATGAGAACTATATCACATAAGTTTGATGTCTACAAAACATAATGTACAATGGCATGGCCTGTTATTTTAAGTAGGTGTAGGCGGTATCCAGAAGCAAATAAGGTCAAACAATCACGGTTGCTTCTCACCGATCACACAAAAAACCTAAACCGCCTTAAATAGCGAAATATGATGCTAATAAAGGGATTAAGTGCTACATGCACTTATGTACAGAGAAAATTTTTTATCAGCCATCATTGCCGCCATATTGTAAAACACTGAAGAGGGCTTCAGTATTTGGTGGATTTGCGTTTGTTGGTTCGAAGGGTCACCAATGTATCATCCATAGTCTTGTCCCCCTGTGTAGGTGGGTGAGCTAGGGTAGCAGGCTTACCGGGTGACTTGTCATCCATTGTTTTGAAGGTTAGTTTCCTCTTGGCCTCCAGGATTGGGTCTTCTTTCGCAGTACTTGATGGGGAGCAAGTAGAATCAGTTTTTGTAGGTGAGGTGGTTGGAGTGATGGGTGGCAAGTTTCCTCCTATAGCTGGTGTGGTCGGTGGTGAGGGTATTGGGGAGAGCACACCGGATGTTGAGGCACCTGTTGTAGGGGCTGCATGATTAGTTTCTTCCACTGCTACATATACAACGCTATAAGGATGTCCTTGCATCCCATCTTCATTAACTTTTGTCCGTTTCAGACCTACTACAACACTGACTTCCTGAAGTTTTGTACTAAAGAGATCCAAATCTAGGTCTATATTAGGATTCACGCCCGTGTAGTGCAGAAGAGCAAGGGATTCAGTGCTGAATAATGTGAGTGGAATGGAAATGGCAGTATCGGTCAGTGAGGTTTCCAGCCTGAACCTGTTAGGATATAAAAATGTTAATACAATTGTAGTGTACATCCTGGTGTGCCATGGGAATTTAGATTCTTACCGACGGATAATGGTACCATTTGTTTGTCCACAGAAAAGGCATTCGAAAGCAATGCCCTCTGAACCATATACTTTACGGTTGCAATAGTCACAGCCAGCATAGAAGTATTCATCAGTAGTATTAACCAAGCTAAACCTCCCCATCACCCACACAACAGGGACCTGACAGCATAGAAGATTGTGTGTTTGATTTTTTTTTGCTAGTGTAGGTATCAGTGCCAGTAAGGTGGGTATATCTGGGAAAAACATATAGGAGGCAGTGAAATATAAGTGGTAGTGTACCTTATTGAGTTCTGCGTCCAGGCATGAGAGGGTTGTGCGCGGTTGCGAGAGAGGTTGTGCAATTACTAAAAAGGCATTATCATATTCTTTATTCCGAACCAGCATGTTAATTTTTTCGATGTTGCTGGCAACCCTAGGTCAATAATAAAAATAAATGAATGAAGGTGCAAGATTAAGGAACCTAGGAGCAAGTGTGTTTGGGTGCTAACTGGTAAATAAGTTATACATACCATCTTTTTAAACTGTGTGCTCGTTGGCCACCAGGGTTCAGTTCCATATGGCAATCATATCGGGTAGCAAATGTAAGCCCTGGGAAGTATTTGACAAATAGGAATTAAATAAAACATATTTTATATACAGAATGCAGCTGTTAGAATAAATGAGATATAAACCTTGGAAAAGGTTGACAACCACCCTGTTAATGAGAACAAGTGGGTGATCACCAGCATATAGAAGCCTGTCGATTTCAACCCCATGCCGTTCAACGAACTCCTCCCATAATGTAAATGGTATAAGTATGCACCTGCCAAGAACACGTATTTGGATGATTACTTCTTTATGAATAATGCAAGGCCGAGTAATGAACGGCGGGGCTGATAGTAAATAAATTAAATGTATACTCTTCATTGATAAGAACAACATCCCAGGCAAGTCTTTGTTTGCCGTTGCTGAACACAAAGGTGCGTGGAAGTTTGGAAACAATGGCGGCTAAGATAGCTGTATCCAAAATTGAGGCAAAATTAGTGTTGTTATAAATAAACTGAATGGTGCTTTCAGAATTTGGTAGATTGGCGTACTTATTTTGTCACTGCGCATATGACTGGCGTAGAGGTCATGGAAAGGCGTAGCGCCAAGTTCTGCCAACTGCCTATACTCAAGCCCCTCTGGCGCGTCCACATCTCGTATCAAAGTACGCCTATTGAATGACCAAACATATGGGTACCCATAGTCCACACAGAAGCGCATGTCGGTGATAGGTTTCACGAATGCATTAGAGAACAAGTATGTAGAGTACAAGGCCAAACGCTGGTCAATACCCTGGATATCACCGCCAAACACTGTGGCTTGTACTTTAGTGCCCTGTTTAAAAAAAAATTAAGCAATTTGGTTTTCAGATCACCACAGCTGATTATAAGGATGTGTGTTAGGTGAACACTTACAGTAGCATCAGTGAGTATCATAGGCATGAACTTCAATGGTGAATTACGGGCGGTGCGCACGTTTTGCTTTTCAATCAAGGTGAGTCGGCATGTCCAGTTTCGGGTGTCTGGCTTGACATCCACTATTGATTGTTCTGCTGCCATTGCTCAAAAGTTCCTGAAAAATATGTGAAATCAAAGATTCTGTTATATAATATTTTGAATAGGTAGAAATAATGTTAGTAATAGACAATTACAAACCTTGATAGGACGGTACAGGTAGCAAAGATGAATATGGTAGTTATTCAATGTAAGATAGTATTTCTTTGTATACAATATTACGTGTTGTGTTGGAAAGGTGTGCATGAGTCTCCGTAGGGCACAGGAGAATTTTGACAGAGTTTGCATTCCGAGCTCTAGACATTGCAACGTACAGTTGGCCGTGAGAAAAGACTGGTTCTTTGAGATATATACCAACAAAGTCAAGTGTTTGTCCCTGCGACTTGTTGATTGTCATTGCAAAACAAACTTTAACGGGGAATTGGATGCGTCTAAACGGGATTGCACAGTTTTCGTCTTTAGAAATTTCAAGGGGAATTTTCGGGATGAATACATGTTTACCTTTGTGGTCACCAGAGGCAATGAAACAACTAAGGATGTGATCACCAAATGAATCGCATATCAACCTGGTTCCATTACAGAGTCCTTCACATGGATTTAAATTACGGAGCAACATTACTGGACAATTGCGTTTAAGACTCAATCTGTGTGGGGGTAATCCAGAAGGGGATAATGTGTATAAATAATCCTCACAATGCATATGCCTCGACGCGACGGGTACATCGTGGCTGAGATATGTGTGAGTTTCTCCTGGAAATTTTGACATAGAACTTAAATTAATCAGATCAACTATGTCATTCTTAGTTGTCAGAATAGCACGTGTCATTAGAGCATATGGGTCCACGCGAAATAAGTCAAGATCTGGGTATACAACATCAAAGAGAAGTCCCAGAGATGTAGTTTCATTTATCCAGGGAAGGAGGAATCTGGAAGGTATTTTAATGTGGTCGGTTGAGGTGTTGGGTTCACTTCCGTTTCCAATGCGCATTAGATACTCGCTGAAAGCAGGATCTTCATGAGCACGCATGTTGACAGTGAGTCGTAGGTGTGAAACATGTGGCCATATTGTTAATGACCGTAGCAGGCATGCGTCAATAAAGTCCTGCCTTGTTCCCGACCGAACCACAGGTAATGTCTGCCTGAAATCGCCACCAAATACCATAACCTTGCCCCCGAAGAGCGCGTTATTATCTATAATGTCTCGCATAGTTGTATCTAAACTTTCAACTATTTTGCGGTTTGCCATTGACGCCTCATCCCATAATATTAACCTTGCTTCTTTAAGTAATCTAGCTTCTGAGGACTGTTTACCAATATTACACACATACCTGGATTCACCATCTAGAGGGAGTTTGAAACGGGAGTGTGCGGTCCGGCCCCCAGGCAAAATAGACGCGGCAATGCCAGAACTTGCTGTTGCAAGCGCTATCCATTTGTTTGTCCTGGTTGCAGCAAGCAAGCATCTGTATAAGAAACTTTTACCAGTTCCACCGGGACCATCAACAAAGAATACGCCGCCAGCACAGTCACGAACAGCACGCATAATCGTATTGAAAGCCAATAGTTGCATAGCATTTAAGGATAAAATCCCATCAACATCCGCTTCGTTAACGACTATGCTGTACTCTGCTAGTACTTCACGAGTATTGTTCTCAGCCATAAGGATGTTCAGTGGTGTGTCAGCCAGACCAAAAGAATCAATATCTTTGCCCATCTCTGCAAATAGTTCACGCAAGAGGATCAATGCTGCCTGTTCAGCTTCTGCCTGCGGTTGGTATCTGGCTAAGTCCTCACTCAAGTAACCTTTGTACTCATCCCACAGCGCACGTGGCGCAGGAACATCTGCATAGCAGAGTTGAGTGACAAATAATTTGCGTAAACTTGAGGGAAGCTGGAATACGACTGCATCATCTAATGAAGCACGTATAACAAAATCCCCAGATAGTAGGCCTAATTTTTCAGTGGCGGAATGGAATGTTGTTGTCTCAGCCCCGTCAATGCATCTTAAACTTGCAAACGATGTAGGGCAACGAACATTAGTAAGTAATAAACGAAGATAATAGCGCTCTCCTTCAATAGGATTTACAGAAACAAGCCTACCAAGTACTTCATTTCTTTGCCGTTGAGACCATTTTTTATGTTTGTTAGACCGGACAAAATAATGGGGGAATTCTATATATAGTAAGTTCAGTGTTTGGGCAACCTGATTACAGACATTCATGGAAAAAAACTCTGTGAGCATTGTTTTTACAGAATTGGGAGACTGTGTTATATAAGTTATGTGTTGGTTGCCATAAAAGGTGACATATTGAGCGTCCGGCAAATGTACCTGTAACTGTACAACAGAGGGTTTGATTTCTGAAAGTGAAAATCCAAAAATACGCCATGCTGCCTCAGGTGCAGAAACCCAACGAGCTTTTTGGAAATCACTTATTTCATCAACAACTTCATTATCCCAGGTGTCTGGCAATGCCATGCTGACTCGATCGTGCCCCTTGTAAATGTATTTGTATATGTATTTGACGGATTTCACGCTTGCACAGGCCTCGACATTTATGTGGCAATCATATTTGCGCAGTAGGCGAGGATTATAAGGAACGACCCAACAGTTGGTCAAATGATGGTTCCTCACCTGTACGGTAATCCCAGCGTCCCGTCTTCGGTATGTAGGGAAACAGTTTTCATCAAAACGTGTAACTGCCGTAAAAGCATGAGGATACCGGCTCCTGCAGTTAGGTGTGGTTGAACCGTGTGAGACCACCATACATGGGCAACCCATATTCATGGTACCGCAAGGACCATGAATCATATGTTTTTTTACAAGCTGATATAAAAGAGGTTCAGCTATTGGGTCAGGGAGTTCGGCGCTGATCAAGCTGTCACACTTTTCGGGCGTAGAAAGCTTGTACTCGCGTGATAGAATGAGTAAAAAGTGGGCATGAGGGAGGCCTCTTTTCTGGAATTCAATTACATACGTATAGGCGACTACCTTGCCCAGTGAACACCGTGTTACAATGTCCTTCTTAAATGCTTCTAAGCGTGCTCGAAAGACACGGGCAACCAATTCAGGCCGATTCTGAACTTCATCAGCAAAGGACAACTGATCTTTTATTTCTGGCCAGTTAGGATTGCAGGTGATCGTTACAAACAAATCAGGCTTGCCGTAATGTTGAACAAGTGTCATTGCATCCATGTATCTGCCCCGCATGTCGCGTGGTCCACTTATGAAAGAACCGGGTAGCATTACACGTTTACCAATGTCACTAGTATTGGTCAATCCAGCTGCAGTGCTGTCTACCAAACCTTGGTATGTGTCTGACCGACATTCTCTCTGCTTGCTTCGATAGTAATCAAGGCGCTGTTGATATACTTGTAATTTCCATGTGTATGTTTATGTTTTTAGCTAGTTTTAATTGTTTAATATTTCGGAAATTACACACTTTTGGTGTAATAGTCATGTTTGTAAAATAGTTGTAATATGTTTAGATTAGGTCCATTCTGAGTTTAAACAGGTCCAAGATCAATCCAATGATCATTGGTGAAGGAAGGTGCAAGAGTACAAGACAAAAAGAAGGCAAAATCCTGATTTTTGACCTATACTCGATCGAGTATAGCATATACTCGATCGAGTATCTTGTTGAGATTTCAAATCGGATCGGATCTGAAAACAAAGGAACATGCAGGGAAGATTTTGACCACGATCGAGTGTCGATACTCGATCGAGTACACCGACATACTCGATCGGGTATGACTATAAATTATACTCTGAATTCGGTCGAGTATGGGTCGAATTCAAGTTTCTACTCATACTCGATCGAGTATATATACATACTCGATCGAGTATGCCTTTAATTTTAAACCTGAAATCGATCGAGTATACCTCGAATTTGCATTTCTACACATACTCGACCGAGTATCTTTATATACTCGATCGAGTACCCGAGCTGCACTCCCAAAAAGCCTATAAATACACCCCCTTTCCTTCACAATAGGATACCAATTCACATATACTTCTTAGCTCAGTTTAGACAAGTTCTTTCTTTATATTTTTCATCATGTTTAGTCTTCAAATGAGGAGCTAAACTCTTCCATCTTGGTTTTGCTACTTTGAAGCTTAATGAATTTGTAAGTTGTGAGTTATTATCTTTGATCTTCTTCCTTGAATATTAATTCTTCTTTTAAATACTATTTCTATATCAATGTTGGGGAGTGTTACTAAGATGACAATTAGTTAACATCTTGACATTAGTTATAGTAATAGTTATTTCTTCCTCTACGTTAATATCGGGGAGTGTTACTAAGATGACAATTAGTTAACATCTTGATATTAACTATAGTAAGATTCATCTTCTTTAATATTCTTTCTTGAGTATTAATTAATTCCTATTCAGATTTCATATTAATATTTTGAACATTACTTAAAGGATCAACTAGTTTTGTTTCATATATTAATTAATACTAGAATCGGTCGATTAATACGCTTGTTATTAATTCGGTCCTTTCATGGTAGTAAACTTGGATTACTAATGCATGCATCTCATGGTTAATAATCTAAGGGGAATTAATTATATTGATTAAACCAATAAACCGCTTGTGTTGAGGTTATCAATCTCAATCGTTTTCATCTTAAGTTTATTGCTACTATCAAGTTAATATACGGCGCTTGTTCTATATTGACTCGATAGTAAGTTTTATTAATGAACGCTTCTCGTTATTAATAACTACCCTCGATGAACTGGATATACTCCTCGATTGAGTATTCGAGAGGAAGATAGTTAAAGATATAACCGGGATCGACGAACATTTCATTAAGTGGATAAAAGCAAAGCCAAGTCTTCTTCTTATTAATTAAACCACATAACTCGTTCATCTTCATGTTTAAATATAATTTAAGTTCATTTACTCAATCTAAACCCCCCCTTGTTACTAGTTTATAAAGAGAGAAGTATTCCTTTCCATGTGGATACGAACCTTACTTCATTATACTACGTATAATTGTTGTATTGTATTATTATTTTGAGTGCACACCACGACAAAGTGCACGTCAGCTGTGTTTCAATCTTAATATACAGGTCAACTACATATTGTTGAAATAAACGGCCAGTATGCAATATAAATGAAGTATCCCCGTGACGTAGTTGTAGTTTATATGCGTAATACTCGCGACAAGAAACCGAGTGACGTTTCCCGGCTGTCTGGTGCTGTTCTTCCTCCGCTACAAACAAGGCCTCATCAGTGGCAAACCCTTGACTATTAATGTTAACCGAACTATCAGACCCCAAAATAGGTGTCGTCACGCTAAATGGCCCTTTGGGGATGCCTTCGTGCCACCCTATCTCCCCGTGTGGGAATAATAGAGGGTATTGCAGCGGATCATAGCATCCATAATAGTAGTGGACGTTTTGAGAATGGCCACCGCGTGCATAGACACGAATATTCCTTTTTGTTGACACTGTCTCATACCCATCCTCAACCCACACAGCGGCAACTTGGGAGGTTGTTGGGCGATTGTAAACGCGTTGATCCAGCACAGGGTTACCGTTAAGTACAATGGAGAATTCGCCATCCATATCAACCTCATTTAATGTTTTGAAAAAACGTGCGTAAGGGTTGTTGGCCAATACTTCCATCAACACCGTTACAACGTCTTTGTCCAGGCGCTCAGTAGTATTCAACCGGGTGGCAAGGGACTGGTCTGTATCATAGAAGTACAGCTGTAAGTTGCGAGGTGGGCAGCCATCAGAAAGTATGTCATTGATGAAATGATATATTTGTCCTTGTACGCGGAATGTATATATTCCCTGATTTCTGTGGCATAAGTTCTTGTCATAGTTGTATATGCCTATTGATGTGAATGCAAAAGTGTTATTATAAGTGCGCACACAGGAACGGAAATGATTGGACAGTGGATTGCGAGATGTGAAGAGCTGGCGCAGCTGTACAGGCATTTCGGATGAAGTGAGTACAATTTGACCCCGATTACAACACATACCAGGTGGTTCAAATTGTATTCGTTCTGCACCGCATAATAAACAATCCGGAACCAGTTCAAGACGGTATGGAAGATCGGCTCTGGGAAGCGGGCATGCAGGTGTTGGGAGATGAACAGGGAGGGTAAAACACGATTGTAAGGGTGCTGATAACATGACGTATTAAATTACCAGTCGCACAACACCGTCGGGCGTTGGGGGGGATAACGTAAAGGGCAAATAAAAACAGCAGATAGTGCGAATTGGAGACGTGATGCCAGGGCACAGATGTGCAGGAATGAGTGGATGCAAGGCATACAAAGCACACGAGTTCACGGACATTTGTGTGTTTTGGTTAGTTAATGATAGAATTGTGTGTTGTCATGGAAGATGAGAGGTATATATGCAGTTTAAGAAAATATCATGATTAAATATGGGGACATAATTATACGGAGCGTAACATTTTGACAGGATCAGAGGGAAGCGTAGGACGAGACAGGTCAAAAAACGGAACAAAAGAAAACGGATTAGACGGCAGGTAAGGCAGATCGCCATAACACACATTGCAAAACACGGGGTTGCTTCAAGAACCAACCTGAAACCCCTATATCGCTATCACCGGAAGCAGCATTGCTTGGTGAACAGCCAGCATTCCCGCATCGCTCTGCAGCACCAAGTGCGTATGTAAGGCGACGCCGTTTATTCCGCCTCGCTCGCTGTTCCTCTATAGTCGCTGGTGTGACTAATTGTTTGGGACGAGGCATTTCAGATGAACCAATGGCAAACTACACACCCAGGTGGGTCAAAAAAATTTCAGGCTAATTTATCCTTAACAAGACAGGGACACAAACATATGAACGGGTAAAGATATACACAAGGAAAACCTAGAAATGTGCTTTTGTGAAAACCTCAGGCATACACAACACAACCGGGTAACTCTAACATTCAAGAAAGCCAGCAAGAAAGAAACAACTTACAAAACAAACAAAGGTAATATCCAACAACAGTACAATACTGATTCAACAGCCTGGAACAACAATAAAAGAAACCACACATATCAACACATTAAAAAACCAGGCAAGGACAGAACATAACCCCAACAAGGATGAAAAAACAATAATCAACCACACAAGAGAACTGTGCAGGGCCAATTTCACACCACGCAAATAATAGCTAGGAAGACCCCGAAAAAAACAACCCATTATACCTAATAAAAAAACAACCACCAGCTGAACAAACAGAAACTAAACAACCCCCGTCCCCTCCAAACAGCAAACCCATGGTGCGACACACCCAAAGTGCCCCACTTAACAATGGGAAACACAGACTTTAAGAACACAAGTACACCCACAACATAAAAACAAAAAACCAAGTTACACAAGGCAAGTCATAAGAAGACGATAACGACGAAACCAGCACAAGTAAAAACAATTGGGAAGAAAAAAGAACTTACAATATCCGGAACTAAGCGAGAGAATGCAGGCGAGGAAGAACACAACAACAACATAAATTTGGAATAGGAGGTTTAAACTTAAAGGGAATTGACCCAGCAGTGTTATCCCAAACAGTAACCGACTTGATAGCGAGATGCGACACAAAGGTGCTGTTCAGCCTTTCCGCAGTGGAGGTGGCAGCAAGATTGAAGAAGCTAGAGGCTCTACAGTGGCCGTATTTTACGCGAATGGGCAACGGCCAGGGAGGAATAAATGGAAGTGTTAAACGGACTGGTACTGTAGCAACGTAAAAAGGACGAGTTAACTGCCTACCGCTCTTTAAGTAAATAGGGGATATATCACTATGAATTTATGTGTAGCTTTTACTCCTAGCAAGTTAGAATTAACAACTTTTAACTATTTTTCTAGATTTCCTCTATACTTAAAATGCTTCCTCTTTTGAGATTTCATTAATTTGTTTTAAAAACTATGAGGCCGTTTGGTAGCATGAAAATCGGATGTTTTGACTGATTCTGCTGAAATTTATGAAGTTATGGGTGAAGTGGCTGCATTGGCTGATTCTGCTGATTTAAGAAAAAATTATTTTTAAAATATATTTTATTAATAAAATAAAAGAAAAATTATATGTAAAAATAGCTAAAATGGTCATCTACAGTAACTTCAGCCAATACAGCCAGAAAAGTAACTCCAACCTTACTTTTTCTGCTTATTACACAATTCAGCGCGCGAAAGCAAAAATTACGTGTTTGGTAAAAAAGTTGGCTGATAAGCCTGATAAGCCGAAAAATAGTGTTGCCAAACGGCCTCTATAATTAATATGTGGTGTGTCCTGTTTTAAAAACATTACATGGTATTTGATAATCCGATGAAGTTTTTTTTTTTTCAAATAATTGTTAGTTTCCATTGCCTTGACATTATTTTACTTTATCGATCCCCCAATAAATTACATACAAAATTAAAATTAGTGTATTGATTAAATTGCAAACATCTTAGTGTCACTTGACTTTATCGTGCAGTATAACAATTATTGCTTAAATCGATGGTAATCATAATTGATCACTTCTTATTTAAGTATAGAGGGTGGAAAAAAGTGGTTTCATTTGGATAAAACTGAAATGAGTTTTATGTAACAATGAACAAATTAGAACCAATTAGAGATCATAATTCGATATCAATATATTTATTTGGTTGTCCACTCTCTTTAGATGCTATGAAGCGACACTCGCATCTTCAATTTTTTTTCTACGTTCTATAATAAAATTAAAAGTAATACTCCGTAACATTTTTTACCCCGTGCACGGCACAGATAAAAATTCTACTGGTTATAAAAATCAAACATGATTCTACAGTTGTACTTCACACATGTCTACACCATTGAAGCGAATTAACTTTGATAATATATTAAGATCGGGATTCATTCTAAAATTAATTGATATACTCTCCTCTCACTGGATTTTACCATCTTTGCCTTTTCGTTTATTCTAAAAAAAAATTGTTTTTTCTTAAATCACCTAAACATAAGTTTCAATCACACAATTTTTACTTTTCTTATGTCACACTCAATTTAAAATTGACAAAGTCTAATGGGATCGAAGTAATACAATTAGGGAGTATTTAATTTCTTGAAGCTTGACCAATGCAGTTACATTCCTCTAATTATGAACCACAATCATTCATGTGAAGGAGGTCCATACACATAGCTAGCGTAACACTTACATAATGACATACAACATATAATCCGTGCCCATAGACACATAGTACAACTTTGCCCCAAATTAAAAATTAAAGTATGTAGATAAGGTTCGTTTTCTTTTGAATAAAGAGATCGATGGAGACCAGCCAGCTGATTAGATTATGAATGAATTTAAGGACGAAATCGAAGTAAGGCATCATGCCGCGTCCTGAGTGGTGCCGGCCATATCAGCAGGACCCACCATAATAATAATAATAATGGATAGGCAGATATATGCATCTTTCTGTGTCGCTAGTAGCTAATTAGCTATAACCATTACTTCAAATAAAACTCTCAGAAAAAGGGACAAATAAGCTCACGTACTAATAAAAAATGTCAAATAAACCCTTATATAGTATGTTCTGTCCGGCCGTCGCCATTTGGGGAAGTTCCCGGTGGAATTTTTTGATGAAATTGTTTGAGCATCTTATTCATTATGTCTAGTTTACTCATACCAAATTCCAGCTAACAATTCAATCGGGAAGGCATTCAAATAAATTCTTGAAGATCACTGCGCAGTTAAAAGCGCAGTTATCTTCAAGAATTCATTTGAATGTCTTCCCGATTGAATTGTTAGCTGAAATTTGGTATTAACTGCGCAGTTATCTTCAAGAATTCATTTGAATGTCTTCCTGATTGAATTGTTAGCTGAAATTTGGTATGAGGAAACTAGACTTAATGAATAAAATTCTCAAAAACATTCATTAAAAAATTCCACCAGGAACTGCCTCAAATGGCGACGGTCGGATAGAGCCTCCTATATAAGGGCTCATTTGACCTTTTTATGTAAATCCGAGGGCCTATTTGTCTCTTTTCCCTAAAACTCCCTAATACTTTTAGAAACAAAATACGATTAAAATACATACGATGTAAGTACTACTTATATTTTAATTAAATATTGACGGATTTAATTCTAATTAAAGTAAAAATACCTAAGATTTTATTATATATGAATGAGTAGTTTCTGTTTTTTAAAAGATACTCCGTAGTTTTTTTTATTGGTTTAAATGTATTTAGTATTTTTTTCATATTAATTCCGTACTACACAGATGTTATGTTAACCACTTCGTATTACTTTTGTTAAAAAAAGATCCTTAAAATAAATCCAGATACTGTCGGCATATAATGGAAAGGAAAAGAAAAAAGTAAGTAAAATAATTATGTAGAGCACTAATTTAAAGAATCAATGGAGGGTTATAGTGGGCTAAAATCCATAACAATCTAATTTTTTTATGTGACAACTCCGGTACCTTTCTAAAATATGGGGTACCGTACCTATCACTCATTTGATTGGACCACATCACTTTATCATTTTTAATTTAGATTTAAATAATTCAACTGCTACATTCTTATTGGTCCATTATGTGGACAAATGTATGATATCTTATGGGTACCATAGAATCTACCTTTTTTCGAATTTAGTTCATCTCATTAATGTTTAAGGCTACTATTAATATTTTCAATCTTGTTCAAGCCAGATTCCTGAATCCGACTCCGTAAGGAATCAATTTGGATCGGAGTACGGACCCTTTCCAAGCTTGTTTGATAACATTAAAATTGGTTGAATTGCTGAATCTGATAAAATTGAAGAAAGTATGGTTGAATCGGATGAATTGGCTGAACTTATTGAATTATGAAAAATTATATTCGTATTTCAAGTATAATTTATATGATTAAAAAAGAATACATGAAAAAATGTCTAAAAAGAATTAATATACATAGTAGTAATTTAGCCAATTCACAAAACAATAACTTCGACCATACTCATTTTTATTATTAAAAAATTGAGTGCGTATCAAGAAATTAAAACGTGTTCGGCAAAAGAATTGATTGATAAATTTTGATGAAATAAACGGGTTCTCATCATATATACATATGCTTGACCAAATCGTGTTTGATTAGTTTATCCACCTTGATATATGAAAACGGACAAGGATGCATGATAGACTCAAGTCCCCTGTCGGCTGGGCAGGTTGTTTCTGTAAGGAAGTTATTATCTGCCGCATTTAATTTTGAAATAGGTTCGAAAGCATATACTCGGAGCGAGATTATTACGGTAATATTACCAAAACATAGAGGATTTCTCATAATATGACTAAATAATGAGATTTCTCATAATATGACAAAAAATGGTTACCATATAAACATGACTCCTTTTAAATATGCTTCTTAAAGGGATATAACCGTGCATCCATACCATTTCCTACTATTTAGGAAGAGTAAAAACTTCCTATTAATACTCACACACGTATTAGTATTGGAAAAAACTCAAGGACTCATACATTGGGAAATGATTGATGTTTTAGTCACATGAGAAATAATTTTCTCTATACTCGGATCCATACGTAGGTACGAAGTCGTTTTTGTACGTGAAAGAAGAAAATTACGAAACAAATTCATAAACAAATTTGGTTTCACACCAATTGGGAATCTGTACGCATTCATTTATATTTGTTCTGGATCCCAACATTTCATCATTTATTACAAATAAAATTAACATGAAATCCACCAATTATACGCGGATAAATGAAGTGAATTGAATCTGATTCAAAATAAAGATAATTAAACATGTAAAAACCTTAAAGAAGCCCTTGTGAGTTTGTGAGAGCAATATATCAGGACTTAGGAGTTAGGAGTGCTCGAGTAATATATTAAGGACTTGCTCATGTTAACCCTCAAGTTAAATTACATTTTCACGTCATTTACTCGTCAAATCATGAATATATTCATGTCATCGCATTTACACGTAGCATATAAAAAAATTATGTACACAAGAATTGAACCTTTCCCTTCTACTCAAATAATATATACATAGTATATGATTTGGCCCTGATATAACATCAATAAGCTCACTATATTTTTAATATAATAATAACAACTATAAAATAATGATAATTTATACTACGTATACAACATTCATATTTTCCATTAATAGGTTCCAATAATGTTTAGATCGTGTATTTTTATTAGATCGAGTTCGATCTATGTTTTTAAATTGGTAAGAAAAGGAAAAGACAGTTACACCCTTCGTATGATGCCTCTTCTGAATTTTGTAATATAATCAAGGAGAAAATATGCTAACATTAAATGCACCATATCACCGAAGCAAATTTTATGCTTGGCTTACGATTGCTTCACATCTATGTCCACGGTTTCTTCTTATTTTTCATGTTAGAGGGTGTTTTTATGTGATCTCTACCCTATATATATATACACACACATATATTATATATACTCCCTCCGTCCCATTTTGGTTGTCCTACTTTCCTTTTTGGGTTGTCCCAAAATGAATGTCTTGTTTCCTTTTTTGGCAAGAAATATGTGGTTATTATCATTTCACTTTATTCTACTCAAATCTCAACCACAACTTTTACTTTTCAACCACTTTATTAATAATCGAACTCAAATCTCAAACATAGATCGAGTTCGATCTATGTTTTTAAATTGGTAAGAAAAGGAAAAGACAGTTACACCCTTCGTATGGCGCCTCTTCTGAATTTTGTAATGTAATCAAGGAGAAAATATGCTAACATTAAATG